ACCAAATATCTCAGTGATGCAAAAAATGTATATAAGCTGGAATAAGACTTTTAAACACATAAACCCTACACTTAATTTATATCTGAGAAAAGTATAAAGTCACAGGAAAATTTAATTAGAAACAAAGAAAAGAATATTCTTACATAATATCTGTCCTATTTACCAGTGAATACTAGACAATGAAGAAGCAACTTGAGGTAACACAAATGTTACTCTACAGAAAGATGCTGAGAATATCATGGACCAAACATGAGCAAGGATGAAGTTTTAGAGAAGATAGAAACAAAAAGGACACTTATACTTAACGTCAGAAAAAGGCAGTGGAAATTTCTTGAGTAAAGAGGGCTTGGGAAATTTGATACTCACAGGATAGATTGACGGTGAGAGAGACAGAGGCAAACAATGCATAACCTACTTAATGAGCTTGTGTAAATGGATGGCAAAACAAGGTTTAGGAGAGATAATGAAAATACAAAATCTATTAAGAGCTACAAAAGACAGGAAATTGGAGATCTATGATCACCAATGTCCTGAGGGGACATGGTACATAGAAGAAGTGTTCATTTGGTAAGTTGATTTTACAATATAGCAACCATTGTTGGCTTATTTAATTTTGAATATTGTACAAGGTATCCATTGAGAATCAAGCTCATTAATCAGTAGCAATAGACAATTAGACTAGCCCCACTAACCATCCCATGCCAAGGCACCCATTATTTAAGGAAAGAGAAAAAAAGGGGTGATAATGATATTATAGTAGTAGTTATGATAAAATAGGTATTAAACCTGGCTTTTTTATTATAATTTAAGGTTAGGTTAGGTTAGTTGATTTTATGAGATGTCAACCATTGTTGGCTTAGTTAATCCCGAATTTTGTAAAGGGAACCCAGTGAGGATTGACTTTATTACTTAGTAGTAATATTAGGTTAGGTTGGTTGATTTTATGACATGTCAATCCTTGTTAGGTTAATCAATGTAAAATTTTTGTATAAGACACCCAGTGAGAATCGAACTCACTACTTAAGTAATGTTCTGATGAGATTTCCTTTTCAGTACATAGACTTCATAAATTTAAACAAAATGCTAGATTGGCATGTACATTCTCATCATTTTACTGTTGAAATTTCTACACATAACTTTAAATTCTATTCTGATAGTTTCTTCTCTCACACTTCTTGCCTGTGAAACATCACTTGTCATCTGTCTTTTTTATAATTTTTTTTTTTTGTTGTCCTTTGACACCAAACTCAGCTTAGGTTGTTTGACTTTGACATGTCAACTATGGTTGGGTTATTCAATATCAAGTTTTGTATGAAGCTCACTGAGGATTGAACACCCTACTCAGTAGTAACAGTCAACCAGACCAAAACAATAAAGGACATTTTTTTCATTATTTTTTTGTTTATTAGCATTCATCAGACTTCCTTCTATTCACAACACTTGTCAGAATAAAAAAATATTGCTTCTTATTTTTAATCCTTTTAGAAAGTTCATAATATAAATACAGTGTTAAATCAATCCCTGCTTTTTTAAACATCTAGAAATGATTACTGTGAGCTATGCATATCAAGCCAAAAACTTTTCAGCCCCTCCTTGTACAAAAATGCAATGCATTTATGAAAATGCATGCAAAATTATATATATGTATCAGTGAGGTGCAATGGTTAACAAGGCTAGTCTATTTACTAGTAAATAGTCAGTTTGATCCTCATTGGGTACTCCATACAAAATTCAACATTAAATAACCTAATGAGAGTTAACATGTTATAAACTCAACCAATCTAGATAAAATAATATTAAAAATAAAATGAAACAAGTTTTGTGGGGAAGGAAAAGAAATACTCTTAATTTTACATGTTCCTGCAAGCCATTTATAATAACCAAGAATTTCAATGGAAGCTTTTTGCTCTTTAAAACCAAAATTCAGCTTAGATTCATTTACAGTAATCTTTTGTGTATAGATCACTAGGGAGTATGAGGCACAATTAAAAAAAATAAAAAATTCAGTGAAAAAAGCCTATTTTCATGTATAAAAACATAAGAAAATGACCAAAGCTTGTAAAAAAAGAAGAGAAAAAAACGAGACATTTTGTATACTTTTGTGATTCATAAGCATTAGGTGTCTAGAATCAACGAAATCTAGAAAAAATATGGAACTATACAGGACTTAGAGAAACATTACAAAAGATTTATTTCCCTTTGTTGCAATATACCATTAGATAGATATTATCTCTCTGGTAAACAAATAAATTCAATTTCACTTGATTTCATCCATTTTGAGTCTTAGAAAAAAGTGGGATTGTTCTAAAGGTGTGGCAGACTTTTGGACACAATTTTGGATGAAAAAACACAGGATTACAGTATTTTTATGCATTTGGACCTGTATTAAAAACCACAAAGTGAACTGAAAATCTTTCAAAAATACAATTTACTGACAGAGATTACTTCCATTCAATCTGCTCTAAGAATGTGAATAAGCATTGATATATGAAGAAAATCAACCATGACTTTAGTGTATAAATCAAATGCTGATTAACTTCAACCTTTATAAAAAAGTACCTATAGGAAAAGCATGAAATCACTTCTTCTTGTGCTTAGTCCTATTGACAGTCATCTTAACTATTGTCATATCACAACATTCCAGATACACAGATATATCAAATACAGCCAGGGGACTTTTAAAAGCTCATTTTCCTGAGAAACTGTTTTAACAGAAATATTTTATAAATTTCAACCAAAAGTAATGCCTTTTCTTAACTGCAATAAAGTTCACCATGTACAAGGCCCAAGAGCCACTCAAAATAGACGGTTACAGAGTAAGAAGCACAGTTTATAAAAGGATAAAAGTTAACCATAGACTTGAACAGGTTAAGATAATAGTGATCAGAAAAACATACCGTTTGGAGCCGATTCCACAAATTAGCGGTTCATGAGAAGCTGCTGCTCAAGTGGAACATACATCTCCCCAATGTTATACAAAGAGGATGAGGGTGGTTCGCTACAATGTGTATGGTATATCAGGTCTTAGCTGTGAAGATTATGATTGATGGAACTAAAGAGTGTAGTTCTTCTGAACATTTTCCATGGAAATAGCAATAGAGTAGCAAGAGGCTTGCAACATTTCATCCATGGGAAAAAGGTTGTAGGGTGGAAAATAATTCATCACCCACAAGGATGGAGAGACACTTTTGGAGTATAGAGGCTAGGAAATGAAGATTGGGCAGCTCCTGCTCATATATAACAGCAGTACTCCATTTTTGACCTGATCTGGATCTTATAAAGATTGAGGATAGCAACAAGAATCAGGTACTTACTGGAGCAATACAAGGAACTGGTGGTAAATGAATACCGAATGTTTCCTTATAAGGAAACAGCAGATCTTACCACTATACTACTATACCAATAAGTCCATAGCATAATAAAGAAAACAAGATTTATTTTCTGTCTAAATTTCTTGGATCATTATTTGCATGCAGACTATTATCCTCATCTTTGTTGTTGCTATCACAATATTTTGGCTGTTGTGCCCTCCAACCTTCAAAAGTTATATTTTGATCCAGGTAACCTACAAGGAATTCCAAACATTGTGGATTTGAAAAATCTTTAATGAACAATCCAAGTATATTAAGATTAGAATATACTCAGTTTCAGAATCAAATATTGTATGAATGAAAGGCACATAAAAATCTCTTAGGATCAGTCTACTTTATAATGAAACTGGATTTTTTCACTTGACTATACAAATTACAATTTGGTAAAATCACTATTATTAGTTTCTATATTATTTCAAATATCATTTTTTTTTTTTAAATCTGATAACTCCTGTCATCTGAAACTATAAGGCATTGTAAAGTGATTATATAATTATTTTTCTTACATATTTATCATAAATTGAGTAAATAAATTGTGTCAATATCATATCAGAATAAAATAATAGTGTTTGCTTGTCTTATATTAACTCACTTGCTATCTGTCAAACCAAAGTACTATCCATACCCATATCAATCAATGTAGCTTTAAAGGTCATGATGCTTTACTAGTATACAGCTGATACTTGTAAAATCACACATGTATTTATATAGCATCAACTACAAAAATATTTTAAATACTTGATTCCCTCAGCAAAAAAAATTAACTAAATTAAATAAGACGGTTTTCAACCTTGGAACCAATTTTCGAAATGTATTTAAGAACTGACAGATACACTGAACCAATATCTCTTGCAGAATGCATCTATATGATATAATCATTATGGACTGATACAACATGACTTCCAAATTATGTTTTAAACTGCCAATACAGAAATGGAAGGCTCGTAACATCTACAACATTTTCTGGTCTCGCCTTGCTTGGGATGAAATTCTTAAAATATATATATATATATATATAATGTTGCACTTTTCAGGGAGCACACAGATACTACACTCTGATCCATGGCAGACGTGTTGGAAAATGATACTTTGGTCCAAGGCAGATGTGTCGAACCAAGCATAAATAATCCTATCATTACAAAGATTGTGATGTAATGGTATTCAAAATAAAACAAGAGCCACTTTGATATGGTTAGATTTAAGCTTATATGTGTGTCGGTAGCCTAATCAATATGGCAACTTCCCCAAGCAGGCAGGATTACCAAGAAGAATGGAAGCAAGTTCAAATCTCACAAGAAACAATGCTCTTTATTTCTTATTTGTGCTGATTACTAAATATAGAATGAAATCATGAGAGTTGTGATAAAAAAAAACATCATAGAGATAAGATGAAAGAAATACAAGTCAAAATTTATAATAACAATAAATTATAAATTCATGTAAGCATAAATTTTGTCTGTGTGTCCTCATCTTACATCAGGAGAACAAAAGAGACGACATTGTTAATATGCAATGAATGTCTTTCAGCCTTTTTATATATATATATATATATATATATATATATATATATATACTAATAGTGTTTATGAAGAAATGAAGAGAACAAAGAATAAAAATAGAGACATAGTCTTACAGGCACAAAAATATCTTTCTAAAAAATAGAAAAGAAAAAAACATTTGTAAAGAAAGACAACTTACAGCATTTGTAGCGTCAGCTGCCAGTCGTGCTGCATAACGGGCTATCAACCTGTGTTCATCATCAATCCGTGTAGTGTCGATACTGGCATTAAGTTTACTTGGACTGCAAAGAAAATATTAAATATCAGGAGATCGGAATTCAAAAGATCCTATAAAAAAAACATCTAAGTTATTTTTATCAGAACAAATTTTAAATTTAGCAAAGAGGCAAATATCAACTTGTTTATTTTTAAAATAATTTATTTCATATTTATAACCCTACTAACATGATGTAAATGTTATAAATTTTCCCATAAACACATTGAGATTAATAGATATATCTTAATATATTTTCTGTTAATGTTTTTTATGGATACACTTATTTGAGTCAATGCTTGTTTTTAACTAAACAGTATTAATTACATTTACCGGCCTGAATGTTCATACTGTTTCATATTGTTTGACTTAATCCATTTCATATAATATATTGTCTTTGTTTACGTTAGGTGACAAATTCAGAGCTAATATCATAGATCGAGAAAAATCAGCAAAGGTGTGTATTTAAAGCAGTAATTTGAGTTTTGCTAAACAGGAAGTTTTCATTAAGTCTGACGTGCTACAACCATTCAGGTCATAACACATCAGGCTTAATGATGATTCCGTATAGGATACAGGTTCAATTCCTGTCAGAGGATGCATATTTTCTTTGAAATTTCTTGAACATTCAGGCTGGTAAATATAATTAATACTTTTTAATTAAAAAACAGGATTTACTCAAACAAGTGTATCCATAAAAAAACATATAGGCAGAAAATATATTAAAATACTTGTCAGATTTAATCCATTTTAATTTTGAGATATATATATATATATATATATATATATATATATATATATATATATATATTTTTAAGCATTTCACCCCAAGCAAGGTGGGAAGCCACTAGGACGCAAGGGGTTACAGAAAATATAGAGCGAGATCAGATAGGAGTGATAGAAGAGAGTGTGAGGAGAAGGGTAGTGGATAGATCAAGGCAACTGGAGATGTTGATTGACATTACACTTGAATAGATAGAGATTATAGCTCTCAGGGAAACTGGAATAGGGAAGGGAGTTCCATAGGCGAGAGCTGTGAGACATGAAGCTATTAGAGTAGAAGAGACGGCTACATTTAGGAGTTTCGACAGTGAAGGGGTGAGAGCGGGATGCCAGCCTCGTAGGGCGCTTGAACTCATGACGCCTGGGGAACCAGCGAATGCAGCTCCTGAATAATTACCATGAAAGTATTTGTAGAACAGACAGAGAGAGGGCAGTGGCGTCTGTGAGTAAGTGACTGTAGACGAGATGCCAGAGCAGGGGCCAATTATATTGCATATCTGCCTCTGGAGCCTATCAAGAACCCCCCGAGGCAAACAGAAGGGGCACCAGACCATATATGGCAGCAATACTCCATGATATGTGAGTCAAGTTGTATGAGAATTTAATGGAATGGTAAATCTATCAAACAAGTTGAATAATTTAAAATGTTTTGCCAATGCTGCACATGCAACAGGAAAAACATATCAAAATATAAGTTTTCTACACTGACACACAAATACATATATATATATATATATATATATATATATATATATACTGAGGTCAACACTGAGTGGTGAAAGTCTATTTCAGTCTAGAAGATTGTGTTCAAGTTTGAAACAGACTGGCACCACGATGTTGACCTCAGTGTTCACTTTCATATTTACACATGCTCTATCCCTGATGTTGTGCTAGGAATTTTGAATATGCTCAATGTAAGAAAATAAATAAAAAATAACCTTTTTCCAGAAAAAAAAATCCAGACAACTCAGCTTTACAGAAATTACATTTTATCTAATTATGGCTTTTCAATATATTTATTCAAAAGTATAATCGTTAATGAGCTTCCCTTGCAAACCATTTCATTAGTGTAATGAATTCAATATTAACTGGGGATCCCTGCCTTATGCCAAAATCAGCTAAGCTGGCTTAACTGCTAAACATACATGTCATATACTGCAGAGTTATGGTTAACTAGCTAGTCTTCCATTCTCAAATATGAAGTGGAAAGATTATACCGAATCAATTGCTAGGTCTACTGCTAAGAAAGTTTTTTTTTAGAGAATTTTTATCTCCTGAAACTATCTTGTAAATTTATCAGTCTACCATTCATCCATGTTTTGAAATATGGATGCCACATAGGGAATGGTGCTCCTGCTATATATTTAGAGATTCTTGATAAAATCCAAAGAAGAATCAGCTATATTATTAGTCCTGACCTGGTATCTCAGCTTCAGTTACTTCCCCACCCACTGTAATGTAGCTTCCCTGTACTTTTCTCTATAAATACTTTCATAGTAATTGTTCAGATGAACTTTCTACTATGGTATATAGACTTTATGAATTTAAGTGCAGTACTAATTTGGCAACAAGGTCTCATCTATTTTCAGTTGAATTGGTTAGATGTAACTGTAAGGTTTATGCTAACAGTTTCTTTTCTTGCACTTCTCACTTGTGGAACTCTCTTCCAGCTCCATGCTTTCCAGATAACCTTGATCTTCAAAAATTGAAATGTAATGTCAATCATTATCTACTGTCTTCTTGATTACTCTTCTTTTATTGTTCTCACTCCTTAATAATGTTTCTCTTTTTTCTTATTCTTTTACCCTTTGTATACATATTGTACTTAAGTCAGTAGTTTATAGTAGCAAATTTTCAGTCATTTACTAGTGTTACGCCAGAGATGCTGCCCCAAACTTCTGGAAATTGTACATCATTCAAGTTAACCGGTGTCTCCCAGATTTATCAGGCATTTCACATATTTCTCAAAATCCCTATTCCAGTGAATAAAAAAAAACACAGTTTCTACCAAATTTTTTACTTCTTTAAAGGAAGCCATTTCAAGCCTTAAGTTCCTCAAATTTCTGGGCAGTATACTACATAGTTGCTAAACAAGTTAACCAAATGACATATGGCTATATATTTGCCAACAGAATGTCCATCAACATCATTATATATCTTAAAAAAAAAAAAAAAAAAAAAAAAAAAGGTGACATAGAAATTTGGATATAGATTTTGAAAGACTCAGATATTCAATTCAGACTTGTTGAAATTTTTATAATTTCATTCATCTGTGCCTATCATTCAAAGCTTACATGCCATTTCCTTTAATAAGACATATCACCTGCCACACTTTACAGAAAACAAAATTGAATTTCAGTATTTTTCCTATCATACACAATGCAGTACAACTCGTATTGCTATATCGTTTCATAGGTTTCTTTTAAAATGCTCTATCTTGGAGTATTGACTTGGCCCCAGATACCAATCTAGCAGGAAATCAGGATTTTGATTGCAGATGTTTTTTCTGATGTTAGCAGAACCTGTGAGAGCAACACAGTATTATTTTACAGAATTTTTCCATTCCCTACTGCTTTTTGGGACACTTTACATATAAGACCCAAACACAGGAAAATCCCAGAGGAAACAAACCTATGACAATTTATTAACAGTCGGAATAAATTTAAAAAGCAGTAGTCAATATTGTGACTAAAATCAGCAGTATGACCAGGTTCATCTGATTCAATTTATATCTGTGTTCCTATTTGAAAAAAAAAAAAAGATTCTTTTTGATTTCTTTCTTTAGTAGCCAGAAAAAAAATAATTTTTTTTCTCTTTAATATATTTTATACATAATACATGCATTTCCCTATTAAGTGGTTTACTCACACAATGATTTACATATGCAACTCATTTTCTATCTTTTTTTTTTACTAAAGTTTACTAAACTAAAGGCCCAAGAGCCATTCAAGGTAGGGGGTCACTGAATGAGGTGGGTGATATGAATGTAAGAGGAGGAAGTAGGAAGAGAAGATTTGGGGAATAGATATTGGTTGATGCTAGACTTTAAAAGGTTAAGATTGTAGCATTCAGGGAAGCACCCACGTGGGAGTCTGTTGTTGCAGTTCCTGGAAAAAAAGCTTTGTGAGTGGAACAACCTTCTTGTTGAAGGAATATGTAGGAAATGAGGGTGATTCAGCTCTATGGATGTAACAAGGCTGGTCTTCACTGCAAAGGTCTGTGTTGATGAAACTAAAGAATTGTTATGGTCCGGTTCCTTGTACCACGGTGATAGTCCAAGGTAGGACCAATAAAGAAGAACGCGAACACAGGTATGGAATAACACAGATATATTACAAACAGGAATATATACAGAGAAATAGAAGTGTTAGTATGAACAATCAGGTTTAGTAGAGAGAACAATGTAGTCTCGACCAGTATCACTATTCCAATGTCTTGCAGTAACTGTCTGAACACGACTCTGTTTCAGACTGACTCTTGACTCGACTTGAACTACTGACTCGACTTGAATTACTGACTCCCTGCCTACTCCTGAGGCGCAGTATTTATTAAGTATGGAATAGTCCATTATTATTATTATGGGTAAGATCCCATAACAAGAATGGAACTTGTCTAAACAGTTATCATGGAAGTAGTAATAGGCCTTCAATATTGTATCTGTGGAGAAACCATTGAGTTACAACCAGTGAAAAATTTTACAGGAAATGGGAAATGAGTTACATTCAACGAAGAAAACACAAACACACACATACAATATGTATGTGCAAAACTTTCTCTCTCTCTCTCTCTCTCTCTCTCTCTCTCTCTCTCTCGAAAAGTAAAGAATGAATGCCAAGCCAAGCAGAGAACCAGTTTTACACTGGAAACTTTTTGCACACTTAATAGATTTGTACTCTCTTTCTTAAGTATAAGAAAAAGAGTACACAGGAAGAAACAGTTAAAATTTCAAGGGCACATAATGAGGAAAGGGGGCTTGGAAAATCTGATACTCACAGGGCAGATTGAAGTCCAGAGAAAAACAATGCATGACATACTTAGTGAGCTTGAGTAAATAGATGGTGGAACAAGGTTGAAGAGAAATAACAAAAAGACAAAATTTATTAAGAGCTAGAAAAGACAGGAAATTATGGAGAGCCATGATCACCTACATTCTGAGGAGACACAACACAAAGAAGAAAACTCTCTTTCTCCTTCTACTTTTATTTATCTGGCTACTTATTCAAATCAATGAACAGTGAAGCAGAGTCTGTTTCCAGACAGGAAATTCTTGCTGATTAAACATCTCTCTGATTACTTAACAATAATTCAATAATTCCTGGGAATTGTCTGATATATCCACAGGAAATGATGACCAACTAATATGAGGAAAAATAAAAATAATTTGCAGACTCATACACATTCTCTCCGTAATTATTTTATGACATTACATTCATTGTCAAAGTTACTGAATATTCATACACTAAACACAGAGTCCTAAAACTTATTCTATATGAATAAATGTAAGCCAGATATAATCCAATTCACCCCACTTGAATGGAATCTAGATAAGTTGACCATCTATTACTGCCACATCTGGTCTGGTACTTCTATGTATCTAGATATTCTTGATACAATAAAAAGACGTATCTGCACTATTATTGATCCTAATCTGGCATCTCAGCTTCAGTCATGTTCCCACTGCTGTAATGTCGCTTCCCTATGCCTTATCAATAAATACTTTTATGGTAATAGTTCTGATGAGCTTTCTCCTTCGACCTGCTGAATCCTCACTTTCTAGACCTTGATAGAGTTGAGAAAGATTCCCACAAATACAACATTGCAAACCTGTCACTGTCACTCTTTCCATAGCAAATGTTCATATGAGCTGTATTCTGTAGTTCCAACAGTTTTTAAATTCAATGTCCCTTTCTTAAATTTGAAGCACATTTGTTTATTTAAAGATGAAATGATTAAAATAATACTCTGGATATTATATTTGTTTAATGCTAGATCCCTTTTTTTTAAGATTAATACCATGTCCCTTATTAAATTTTAATGCTAGATCCCTTTTTTTAAATTTGAGACACATTTGTTTATTTAAAGATAAAATAATTAACATAGTACTCTGGATATTCAGTCAGTCAGTTAGGTGACATGCGTGATACACACTTAGATGATCATACATGACTGACGAGGCAGTTTTTTTCCTACAATAGGTTGCCATTTCTTTCTGCAGTAGACCAGTTGCTATCCATGGCTATAGAACCCAGTCTGTCCTACTATTTACCCATAGCTGGGGGAAGAAGAAAAGAATTCATACTTTTCCAAAGGGTATTAGCATAAAAGTGAATGTAATGGATTCGACTGGAATCTATTACATTCACTCATGTGCTAATACCTTTGAATACTCTGATACTAATACTAAACTAATACTTTGTTATTATATTTGTTTAATACCATGTGCCTTTTTTAAATTTAATGCTATGTCCCTTTTATAAATTTAAGGCACATTTGTTTATTTAAATTAATAATTAAATTAGTACTCTATTTGTTTAATGCCATGTCCCTTTCTGAAAATTAATGTCCCTTTTTTAAATTTGAGTTACATTTGTTTATTCAAAGATAAAATGAAATAATATTCTGAATATTATATTTGTTTAATGCCTTGTCCCTTAAGACATAGGCAAGCATCACTTTCTTTGGCTTTCTTTACTTCATTATCTGTCAAGTACCATGTCTTTTTGGGGAAGGGTAGTGCAGTGTTTACCACCTGCCTTCTCCACAGTTATGGAATTTAGAGTTTCATTCTCTTATAAGGGTTGCCACCAAAAGCTAGAGATTCCAATCTATCCTGATACTTAACACCTAACTGAGGGTGGGGAAGATGGCTTCACTTCTTTCCCAGAGCCATCTGCGCGAAAGTGGATGCCACACACTAGGCTGGAATTTGAACTTGTCTCATAGATTCTAATTTTTGTGCTGATATTCATTACATTACAAACATTCTGTCAACTATTTGAGAAATTTAAGATATAATTGAAGTGTATATATATATATATATATATATATATATATAATAAAGTAGAAATTCTCGTATGTGACTTTAGTGGCCCAGGTAAATTATAGCACTCTTTTTAGCTTGAATCTTTAGCTCCCTTAATGTGGTGCTATTATCACATATGTTATTGAGCACTTTTCTTTGCAATACTGGCAACCCCTTTTCCAGAAGAATTTATGTTTTAGTTTTCAGCTATTTTTGATCTTGGCTGGATGAATTAAGCCCCTAAAATTAAAATCCAAAATTAAATTACAGTTCATTTAAATATTTTAAAAACTATAATAATCCACCCCTACAATAAAATATCTTGTGATAAACAGAAATACTATAGAAGTGGCACTGACCATAAAAAATGCACCTGAAGAATGCAGAATGTATGAAACTGCAGGTTGTGCAATCAATGTAAGATATGTATATTTATATAGATTTATATAAATGGACTCTCTCATCATCTTCAATATATGAGGGTTCAACAATTCAGTTCTGAGAACTGAACAACCAGACTGCCCTGCACATAGAATTTGATTATAATGGTGAAGGATTACGCAGAACCATCTACAGTTTCCAGAAAAAAACAAATACTCTTGCACATAGGATGTCACAAGGTCTCCAAACAGACCTCCTCAATTGATGAATTCAGAGTTTTCCTTCTCCTACATTGGTTGCCAACCAAAGATAAAATGAGCTTAGTCTGTCTTACTATTTAACCCATAACTGGGGTACAAGAGATACCTTTCGCCAAGGGTATTTATTTACACATAAGTGAATCTCTAAAGAAATAATGTTTAAAAAATAAACAGAGCCTCTACTCAAATATGGGTTTCGACTAAAAATAATACTTAAAGTGATAAAAATATGTTGAATTCATAAATAAAAATCTATTACTTTTTTATAAAAATTACTTTGTTTATGTTTTGAATATGAAACAGCAGTTATGAAATTATGAGAATATGAACAACAAGGATAGGCTTAAAAGGACTATAGGACCATGCATAATTGATGCCTTTCTTCACGGGCAAGCCTGTTAAGAGCACATTGGATTTAATGATGGTTTCTCATGAAAAGGGGGATACAGTGACTGAGAGTTCATTTTTTTTTTTTTAATAAGATTTGAATAGGGATTTTTTTAAGGATAATGGAAACTAAAAAAGACTCTTATGCTTGGAATCAGAAAGTAACAATGAAGATTTCTGGGACACATAATGAGGAAAGAAGGCTTGGAGAATTTGGCACACACAGGACATACTGAAAGCAAGAGGGGCAAAAAGAAAACAGCAAATAACCTATCTCATAAGCGTGAGTAAATATATTACAGAACAGGGACTGGAAAGTATAGTAAAATGATAAATATTGCTAAGATCTAAAAAAGAGCCATGATCACAACATTCTGTCTTATATGTTACTAATAGCTGCAAAGTATCCCTGATATGACTATAAAAAATAGTAAGCCCTATCACAATATGCACATGACAGATGCACAGAGCATATGTACATCACAGCTCTATATAACAGATGCACATTTTTCCTATTTTTCTTAAATAAAGGTTTAGATTTTTCCAAAATAACTGAAAACTTAACAAGTGTAGAAACACAAGCAGTTCCTGAAGAAGCCATCATAAAATTACCATATTTGCACACTGCTTAAATCACCTGTCATGTGGGAAGTTAATCAATAATTTTGAATAACGTGAGCTGTCTTACAGGTGTGAAAGTCAAACAAGCAAAAGGTATACTAACATAGTAAAGAACTACTAACAAATGAAAAATAGTTATTGGATTGTATTATTATTTACTCTAAACTTAATAATAATACAATCCTATAACTATTTCTCATTTGTTTAAAAGTCTAACAAAGACATTGAACAATCTGTTGAAAGTCCATATATCAAAGTTGTTGACATGCAAAATTCTATGGATCTTACAGGAATTTGATATTTCTAGTCCTTTTGCTATTTACAGACAGAACGACATTAAAATATTCTCTGGAGAGAAAATAAAGGAAAGACAAATATTAAAGCTTTAAATTTTTAAATTATAATATTCTACTAGCCCATTTTTTCTGTGTCATATCCCTTCAGGACATGGGCGAACATGGCACTCCACAATTTCCTGTCCTTTGCATCTCTTAATAAATTTAGTCTTTTTGTTATTGCTACTAAACCTGTTGTACCATCCATTTACTAAAATATGCCAGTAGGTTATATATCTTCCTCTCTACCTTTTGCCATCAATATGTTGTATGAATATCAAATTTTCCAAGACCTCTTTCCTCATGTGCACTAGAGATTTTAACTCTTTCTGTTTTGATTTTCTCTAAAATTTTGTCATTGCTCACATGTTCAGTATTCTCAGCATCCTTCTGTAGAACCAGATTTTTGTTACTTCAAATATTGTGTTTGTTGAATCAAAGCCTATAAAAAGGCAGTTTATTTATAATTCAATTACATATTCTTATTTTACATATGAGGAGGTGTTGAAGAGAACTTTGTCCAACTTACTTCCCAAAATCTGATCTTTTATAATTTTTTTTTTTTGATTGAGCTGACAAATTTAAAATAAAGAAATATAGTAAATATATAAAAAAAAATTGGGATATTTTATTTTTTGGATTGTTTTGCTGATCATCCACCTTCTTTAGAAAAATAATTTTATTTTGCAAGAACAAAATCTAGTGAGCAAGACAAAATGCAATTCACAGATTCATATTAAGCATCAGAGCATTTGATTTTTACATTAACTATATTGTTACAGATATTACATGTCGCCCTCTTTTACAAATTAGATTTTAATGGTAATGTTATAAAAATTAGATTTATATTCAGACTAAAGTCTTCATCTTTATTGTTATTATCACAACATTTCAGACATTGTACTCTCCAGCTTACTTCAGCTGACAGTTGGTGGAAGTAACCTTTACTGAATACTTTATTTAATCTACAGTTTCACTGACTTATGTCTACCTTTTTGGACTCTCATGTAAACTTATGCCATCCTTAAAAAATATCATCAAAGTTTTCTTGAATTCAAATGTTTAGTAATATTGCAAAATTAAAAAAAACTTGATTCATTTTTAAAAATGTTACAATTATATGTAGGTACTCACCTGCGTGATGATGTTGGACCACTTTCAACTGATGATAGGTCAATGGAATGACTCCGCGCATCTTGAAGATCGTTGTGAACCATCACTGGTGTAGGTGGACTGTAAGAGATAAAATTAAACCAAAATGTGAATTCCAAGTTCTCACAATATATAATTAAAATACAGAAAGAAAATCAAAGAAATTACAGTGTAAACATTTACGTTTTTCTTCCAAACACCAAAATAATGAGATTTGAAGAAAGAAGCTGGTCTTAAGTTACAAGTGGATTTTTTTTTTCTAAGAAAAACAACACCTTGTTGCTCATAGTGAAATCAAGTGATTTGAGATAAATAACAGGAATCAGGTCATGAAAGATGGGTGAAGAGATCAAATTAATTTAATTACATTTGTAAACTGTCAGTTTTTAGGAGTTTAATGATTTTTTTTCCTAGAAAACTAATTTCAAAAGATATCAATTTCCTTGCCAAAGAATCATAGTAGCAGGAATGATGTTATGAGTGTGGCTGAGGGAGAAAAGAGATAAAAACCAGCTCTTGAAGCAAATATTAAATTATCAAAACACAAATTATCCAGACAGAAAATTAATTATTTAATATTTCTTGGTGAAGGTCTATATGGACTGCTCTTAAAACTTATTTTTCCATGATTGGGAGTGCAGGGAGACCCCTAAATGATGTAATTAAAGTTAAAAGATATTAATTTATTTTTTATCTGGGAACCAAAAGAGAAGGACACTATTTATATCACTGTTCAACCTTTTCGAAATTGGTAAAACACTCAATTTACATTCCATAATTATTCTACATGAAAGTTCTGGGGTGCAAGTACTTCCATTTAAAATAATTTAAGGGGTGTAAAACAAGCCTGACCTATCTGAATAGTGTTCTAACAGACCATGGAAAATGTGACACAGAAATCCAAATATGCACTGGAGTATTAAAAGATGCTATCCAGAAAATAAAATTAGAAAAAAAAAGAAAAGAAAAAGACTGCTGAACTGCTATATAATAATATTAATTTTTCTATATGGTAGTGAATGCTAGACAATTTCCTCATACATGAAGATAAGACTTAAAGCAACAAAGATGTATTTCTACTGAGAAATGCTAAGAATACTATGGATGAAACATGTGAGCAATGAGGAAGTTTTAAGAAAAATGGGAATGAAAATTATACTTGTACATAAAAATCAAAAAAAGGCAGTTGAAATTCATGGAACACATCAAGGAGGGCTTGGAAAGTTTGACACTCACAGGATATTTTGAAGGGAACAGGAGCAGAGAGAAATAATGAGTAAACCTACCGAATGCATATATGGAAATGGATGACAGAGTAAATGCTGGACAATCTCCTCACAGATGAGATGAAAAAGAGACTTGAAGCAATAGAAATATGGTCCTACAGAAGGATGCTGAGAATACCATAGACTGAACATGTGAGCAACAACAAAATTTTAGAGAAAAGAGAAACAAAAAGGACGCTTATATTTATCAGAAAGTGAAAGTTGAAATTTCTAGGGCACATAATGAGGAAAGAGGTCTTGCAAAATCTGATACTCACAGGATATATTGAAGGCAAGAGATAAAGACGAAAATAATGCATAATCTACTTAACATGCTTGATTAATTGGTTGGCAGAATACAATTTGGAGAGATAGCAAAAAAACAAAATAATAACGAAAAAAGATTTTATTTTACACAAAAAATATTTTTCAACATAATCTCCTTCCTGCACTTAATGAGTAAATAAATGGTGGAACAAGGTTTAAGAGAGATAACAAAAAGACAAAGTTTATTAAGAGCTACAAAAGACAGAAAATTGTAGAGAGCCATGATTGCTTATGTCCATAAGGGACATGGTACATAGAAGAAGAAGGTAAGGGTGACAAATGTTGCTTAACCGTTCAGTATTCAACATACTCAAACTAACCCAGTAAATATTTGCTCTCACTGTTTTTGTGACTTCCTGCATCATTATATATTATGGCAGATTATATATGGGGTGGGCTACAGTGGGTTGAACATTGAGAGCTGATATTTATGGTGTGGTTTTGGGTGGGTTAATGGGTTAAATCTACAAAGGAAAGAAGATGTGGAGAGCCACAATTACACATGCCCTGAAGAGACATGATATGCAAGAATAAGTTCAATACAAAAAATGTACAATATTTCTGACCATATTGTAGGTTGTATGGATTCTACTAGTATAAAAGATGGAAGCTCGTAAAATAAAATCACATAATTTAGAAAATAAATACTGGGAAAGTCAGAAAACAGAACTAGTATGGCTTATCAGAAAATAATGTGTATTGTCAATAAGAACTGTCAATCTTAAAACGACTGGGCTGGTGGTGGTAAGAGTAATATCAACTTTAAGTTGGATAAGTAAAGGTCACTTAAGTGCTTTGCATGTCATTGAGATTAAATGACAGTGGATAAAGGAATGAAGGAGGAGATTTTTTTTTCCAAATATAAGATCGACACAAATCTGGAGTTGGGAATCACCAAAAATTGCTGCCAAAGAGAAGACTGCCTAGATAATCAATCCAAAAAACAAAGTTAGGATCTAGAATTACTAACTCAAGACATTGGCCCAAGTCCAAATCTGAAGGAAAAAGTGGTGCTGACCCCTTCAATGTTCTTAATTATTCTTGGCACACTCATATTTCAGTCATAGATAGTTTAGTTAAAGACCTGGTCAGCTATGACTCATATAAAGTAACAGCATCAAGAGAAGAGTTAAATTTTTGCAACCCAGCTGATTTAATAAAAAGATCTTTTATACTTGCTATATTCTCAACTGAGAATCCTTTCTTTTTATCCTTGAGGATGCCAACATTATTGGTGACTTTGCATTGTAACAACATCTGTTCAACAAAATGAGGTTCTAATCAACTTCACCAACATTGTTCTTATGGGTCATTTAACACAGCTTGGGTGTATTCTTACCTCTCAGATAAACGGTGGGAGTTATCAAATAAGGGGAAGTTTCAATTTCCCAAAATTAATAAATGAGGGGAGGGATTCAAATAAAAGAAGAGCTATTTTTTTTTTTTTTTCAACAATAGAAAATAATCTGAAATTGTGTGCGCAATCAAGATCAATAAACATTGTTTTTTTACAACATACATTGTCATCAATGAATTTTAATAAACAGTGGTGGATTCAAATAAAGTGCGTGGAGTGTCTTAATTTTCAGGTGTTGGTAGAGTGCAACATATCAAAGTTGCTTGGAGCCCTGTCAAAACTAGCAACGAAAATAAGATAAATTGAATGAAAAATTAATAATAACAATGCTCCATCTTAGAAATTAGAACAATTTAAAACTATTATGAACTCTTATTAATGCTTGGTGTAAACTAGAAAGAAAAAAGAGATGAAACTAAAACTAACAATAACAATGCTTCATTTAAGAAAAGAAGGCATTGTGGAGAAATGGATATTTGCTCGGATTGAGGAATTGGAGAGCTGAGTTTGAATTCCAGTTGAATCCATTACATTCACTTACGTGCTAATACCCTTGGGAAAGGTACAAATCCTCCTCACATGGCACATAAGTGACTGACATTTAAGAAATTCAAATGTTTTCTGAGCTTTTGCTAAATTATGTCATCCAAATTGCAAGCAAATTTTTATATATCAAGAACAATTTTAGGGGAAAAATCTATAACAAAATGGTAAAAGTTTTTGTGTGACATGTTTCGTCCTTCAGAACTTCATCAGGCTGAAGTGATGTTTATGTTGATGTGACTACACATGCTAATGAAGGAAAGCAGATTATGAAAATTCAATTTATTTTTATTATTAGTTTAGAAAATGCTTCAATTGTTAATAAATTTACATCCAGGTTCTTACATTTCACCATTGTTGGCAGATCTTCTGTTATCACAATGTAGGATATTTAATAACAAAAGTGATAAAAATCTAAACAAAATGAAAAAGAAATTAAATGAATTTGGCTAGACTATTTGCCCAAAACATATATTTAATCTGTCTATATCTCTGAGATGAGGTATTATGTACACTATTTACATTATTCGGAATATTGTCTTCATCTTTGTCGCCATATTTATTACAACATTTCAGTCGTTGTATGCTCTGGCCTTCTTCAGGTGGTTGGAATGTTGAACTGAACTCTTTATTTTGCTCACTGGGGTAGACTGTTCTAGATCGACATGCCATGTTTAATGGATGTCAGTTATCAGTTATCTCCTGTTAATTCCCCTCTCCAAGTTCTCCACTGCCTTAACCAGGTATTGAACTCACACTCTTTGGGTCCTGTCACTGGATCTAACTAACACCTTTATCCACTGTGCCAGTGAGCGAAATAAAGATTTCAGTTCAACATTCCAACCAGATGAAGAATGGCAGAGCGTACAACGGCCGAAACGTTGTAATAAATATGGCGACAAAGATGAGGACAATAGTCTGAATAATGTAAATAGTATATATATTTAAAATAAAAAAAAAATTAAAAATGACAACAGACAGGAAATTGTGGAGAGCCATGATCACCCACATTCTTAAAGGACACGGTACATAGAAAGAGCTAAGAGGGACAAATGTTGCTTAATCTGTCAGTATTCAACCCACTCAACCCAGCCCTGGAAATATTGGCTCTCAAAGTCCTACTGTTTTCATGACTTCTTGCATTATTTGCGATGATGTTGTCATATATTATGGTAGAATATACATGGGGTGGGTTACAATGGGTAGAACATTGAGAGTTTGGTTTATGGTGTGGGTTTGGGTGGACTGAATGGAAAAAAGGAAGCTATGGGGAGCCGTGATTACTTTTGTCTTGAAGAGACATGATATATAAGAACAATTTCAATGCAAAAAAATGTGTTAATATTTCTGACCATATTGTACTGTAGGAATATGAATGTTACTAATATATAAGTTAGAAGCACTTTCTAAATTGATAATAAAAAATAAATTCTCAGTGTCCCCTCTTCTTCATGCACATGTGTAGTCACATCAATGTAAATATCACTTTAGTCTGACAAATGATGAAATGCATCACATGAAAACTTTTTTTTGATTTTGTCATAGCTTTTCTTATAAAATTTCAAGTATATAATAGCTTTTGGAAGTTT